TGCACCCTTATCTGCACATCTAAGCAACGGATGGATGTTTCCCATGGGCAGCCGTGACCTCGAGTGACTGGTTTCAGAAGGCCCCGGGTGAGGAGGGCAGAGCTACATGAACACTCTCCAAGGCTGACCACGGAGGCAAGTGCAGGGGGAGCCCAGGACCTTTGGCTGACTGCCCAGATCCATGGTCCATACAGGGGTCATCAGAACTCCGTCCCTAGGACCAGCCCAGCCCCCTCCCAATTCACACCCAACTGCGGGCACCAACCCCACCAGGCAGGCTAGCGAATGCCAGAACAAGGCTGAGGTCGCCAACGTCTCACGTGAGCTCTGGTGTTTTGCTTCCTTAAAAGAGCCACGATGATCCACGGCAGTGCCACAGCCCAGGCCGGCAGCCGGGTCCTGACACGTGCTGGGGAGAGTGTTTGCTGCTAGGACCATGTGCCCAGGGACATATGAGGATGCTGGACAAGGCGTTCTGTGGAGTGCACGGTTTTCAGTGCTCAGGTCCAAGAAGCTGCTGACAAAAGGGAAAGAACTGTGCTGGCTGGACAACAGTTAGTTGTTTTGGCCTTGTTTCATCTATCAGAAGTCACATGAGGGGAAAATTTAAGAGTCATTATAAAAAATACACGATGACTAATATCTTTAAGACGATGAAGATGTTACTGGGGAAAAATAAGATCCTTCAACATCATCCAAATGACAAAACGCTGCTTGCTTGTAAAAGTGGAAAAGCCTCCATTCCTCAGTGTGAACATGGACGCGAAGGCTCTGCTTAAATGCAGTTTCTGGTGAAGCCGTCTAACACCCACACAGTGCAGGAAAGATCCAGCATCCTATGTCCGTGACAGTGATCCACATAGTTCTGTCTCTTACGACTACATTTAAAAATACACATTTGGCAGCTTCACGAGTCTGCAGAAACCCAAAGTCAGGGTGACCCTTGAGGCTGCACAGACATGGGAAGGGACCAGGCACCACCTCACCCTGGGCCGAAATCTGGCAGGAGGTGAAGAGCTCTGAAGTGGAGACACCCCTGCTGCCAATCTTCCAGGAAAGGGGCGGGGCCTCTGGCAGGAAGAGCTGGACCTGAGGCCCTGGGTAGAGGGGTCTGACTCTCGAGCCCAGCCTAGTTCTGAGCTCCTGGGAGATGGCACTCAGGTGAAGGCAAGCCAGGAACGAGGAGATGAGCCCTGAAAAGCCAACAGAGCAAGATGGGCCCTTCTGGCCAGATTTTTGGTACAAATCTTGGTGTTCCCATCCTTGTGGTCCTTCTCTAAGTGGAGGAAGTGGCTCCTGCTGGCTTCTACCTGAACTTGGGTACGGAGGGAAGGAGGTGGGGGGATGCTGGGTCTGGAAGTTACCAGTCATTGGATGGAGAAAAAAATCAAAATCACCCTAACAGTGTAGAGAAACAAGAGCAGAAACCACCCTGATCTGGTCCTACTCGAAAGACTTTGCAAATATTAATTCATTCATGTCTCATGACAGCCCCAGGAGAGAAGCAAATTAAAGGTACATTTCACAGATGACGAAACTGAGGCACAGAGAGGTTCAAGAGCTCCCCTAAGTCCCAAGGTGGCGAGTGAAGGAGCTGGGCAGAAACTCAGGCACCTGGTCCTGCCCACAGGCACAGGCGACGTGAATGCCCGGAATATGCCCAAGCTCAGAAGAGGAGTCACTGCATTGCTTTCACCAGGGAGGTTAGACATTTGAGCTGGTACAGATGTGACCTGTCAGCAGAGCCAGCAAAGGACATGCAAAAAATGCATGGGGTGATGACAAAATTCACAAGACAGGAGCAAAGCTTTTCACATGCTCACAGGTCATACAATAGCCCTTTAGAGATGGAGAAGTGGGCAAACTGTGTGCCAGGTCAGTATAAGGTAATGTAAAGTCAAAATCATGTAATTATTTAAGTGTACATCACAATTATTAAAGATTATCATTTCAATTCATTCAAGGAACTTCGTAACTAAAATGTAATGACGTGTTTCATATTACCAATTACTGCAGAAAAGCACAGATGTAAATCACTTAGAATGAGTGACGTCACGTGTTTGAAAGTAGACAGATATGTCAAGGGTAATACAGGGTGTGTAACTACACACTATTCTCTTAAGTGGTCTAAACATTTTCTCTGAAATCTTTATGTTATTAATGTTATGAATGTGGTAGTGATGTCTTTTTAAAAAGCTGATAATGCAATCGAATCTTAATTAAGTTCTTCTGGAGCACTACGTATTCTAGATAACATTTCCCCAAGTGTGAGAAGAGCATTTTCTCTTCTGTTCTCAAGGAAGCGGGGAGTTGGAGGGTGGTGCTATCACAAGGTTAGAAGCACAGTAGACGGTGTGGGAGACTTTGCTTCCAATCATCCCCAGAGAAACACAAGACAGCACAGGAAGCCAAGGGCCACGGAAACTGAGAGAGATGGCGGGGGCCCTGCCTATGGGAGAAAGGCCTCTAGTGGCGAACAGCAGGGCAGGGCCGTGACAGGGTGCCATCTCCCATGCTGCTAGCCTTCCTTGCTACGAAGTATTCATGCCGGGTTCTGTTTCTTAGAACAGGAGGCTGGTCCCCAGGTAGTGCTGATGTTTGGGATGGGGGAGGAGCCAGTGCAAACAGCTCCTAGGGCTCCCCCATCCCTGCTGCTCTACTACGAGCTGGGGTGTGGAGGTGCTGGGGAACTGCTCTGGGGTCCTTGGTGGGAAGGCACCAGATGGGGCATTTCTGGGAAAGCACGTCCCCACGTGAGGCCGACTTGCTCGGCTTGGCGGCCAAGCTCTCGCCGGACGCTCCCTCCTGGGTCTGTGGCTCTGGAGTCAGTGCCACCGCCATCACTCCCAGGACAAGAGGAGACACTGGGGCTGGGTGCATACCACAGCCATGAGGATGTGGGTGTGGACAGACCCGCTGCGCTGAGGGGGAAACGGAGGCCAGGGGAACGGAGGGCATTTGCTTCAGGGCACACAGAACCGTCACGTGCGTGCGCACAGATCCAACCCACAGTGCTTGACGGCAGCACCTCCGGGTTCCCGCCCTCCGCCCTCGGTGTCGCTCCAGTGCCCGGCGCAGGGTTCTTCCAGGCAGGCACGTTCCTCGTCTCCCCATTCCCCGGCCTCTCTCCCAGCACAGGGCCCACCACTCACTGTGGACTTTGGTTCTGTTGATGGAATTTGATTAATAATAGCATCGGTCCCCAGAAAGGGAACCTGGAGGGCGATCTGCGAGAGTCGGCTCAGATTCTCTCCTGATACTACTGGGCACGTCTTTCTGGAAAAGATACGCATCTCTAAATCGGTTCCTTCTGTCGAGCTTTAGGGCGCTCTCCAGGTGAAATCCAGGACCATTGTCAGTAGAAGCATCAGTAAGAACCACAGGCTCACACCCATGAAACTCAAAGAAGCAGCAGCTCTAGGTTCACTTTTCCCAATAAAGGCTTATGGCCCAAATGGAAATGCACCCATGTTTGCAGGATTCTTGTGCCTCTGACTTGGAGAGGACATGGCCATCCTGAGGTGGCCTTCTCCAGCAGGGTCTCCACCATCCCAATACAGCCCCTCCTCTGAGGTCATGGCTGGCCTGTTATGGCCCACTCCTCCAGGGACATGGCCAGCCCAATATGACCCACTCCACCCGGATCATGGCCGGCCTGATATGACCCACTCCACCTGGGACACAGCTGGCCTGATACGGCCCACGGCTCCAGGGACACCACCGTCTAAATACACCCTAGCAGGGCCCACTCCACCGGGAACATGGCTAGCCCGATACGGCCCACTGCACCTGGGACATGGCCAACCTGATATAACTCACTCCTCTAGGGTCACAGCTGGCCCAATACAGCCCACTGCACCTGGGACGTGGCTGGCCCGACATGGCCTACTCCCCTAGGGTCACAGCTGGCCTGATATGACCCACTGCTCCACGGATGTGGCTGGCCTGATACGGCCCCCAGCAGCCCCTCGCAAAGCCCCACTGCTCCAGTGAAGAAGCCTTGTGTGACTGAGTGCGTTGTTTCCGCCCAGAATTGGCCAAAACCTTTGGATAACACAGAATCTGTTTAGCAAGAAAAATGGTGCCCCTAGGATTTCATCTCCAAGAGCCGCCCCCTGGGGAGGATGCCTTGGGATTTCCTACACTGCCTTGCAGTTTGTGGGATCCACTGGCCATACCTGGGATGAGGCACTGCCCGCCCTCAGCGCCTGCTGCGGCTCCTGCCCTCACCACTTCTCTGGGCAGAGCCTCTGGAAGGCACTCCCCGGCCTCTGCTCTTCTTGCTACCCCAGCGCATGGCCCACAGCCACCTTAACCATTATCTAAAGCCACTGCCTGCTTCCTCCGTGGCCCCTGAGAAAGCCCCAGAGGGTCCATCCTGACTTATCAGACACTGCGCAGCCGCCTCTCCCTGCTTCGAAGATGGTCCAGGCACCTGCTTGTGCCTAAATGTCCTTCTCCCTCTGGCTTAGGACAGAAGAGTGGCACGTAACTCTGAGCCCAGCTGGGATATCCCCTGCAGGACACAGTGAATTTCTTTCTCGTAAAGATTCCCTTCCCACTCTGGGGCCCTGGAAGGCCCTGCTGCCCGGGCACTGCCCAGAGCCATCCCTGAAGGCCACAGGCTCACCTGCTTTCAGATGGCACGTGGCCCACCAGCGGGAACTGCTTCACCCTGTGAGCACTGTGGGGATGCCCCTCAGTGTGGCAAAGTCTAACACACCACCGAAAGAAGACTAAACTGAGTGTGCTTTCAAAGTGAGTTTGAGTCCTCAGCAGTGGTGTACATGTGTGAGGTTCATTTCTTTAGGAATAAATAATAAGGAAATGCTTAGGGACATCTTTTCAAAATGATGCTCTAATGAAAGGAGCAAATATTTAAAAATCTGCAGGTGATTCCTTCTCTAAGTGGAAGACAGCAGTGGGTCCTGCGTGGCTTGTGGCGTGGAAGGTGCCTCTGCAGGAGGCCTCCCGGCCCACAGCATGCCTGGGACACTGACCTGTTTTCCTAAGAGGGAAGTCATCTTTGGCGTCGTACATTCCCAGGACTGGGTGGTTATAGGAGGTCGACACTCCGCTCTGGGGTGGAGAACTCTGGTCAAGGGAACTGTGCTGCGTTTTCCTGGAGAGAAGGCAAAGACAGACGGTTTAGTTTGCCCAGGGCACTGCCCCAGGCACGCTGCAGCCGAGAAGCCACACACAGGATGATCTTTCCCTTGAAACCTCAGCCCCACCTCAACAGACGCACCTCTTCCCTAGGGTCAAGCTGAAGTTAAAAGGAAACAAACAGGATGCTAAACAAGCAAGTAAACATCCAATGCCCACATCCTCCTCTATGGGACCGGCAGTGCTCGGGGCTGGGATGGGCAGCACCTCTGGCGGTTTTCCTGGTGGCCATTCTCCACCTGGCCCTGTCCTCTTAGATGGCTCCAGCCCGGTCTGTTCTCTACCAGGGCCACCACTGGCCACTCAGAGAGCCTGTCCCTGGTGGGGAGGGGCAGAGGAAGACAGTAGGCTGCGGCGTAAGGAATCAAAGGTCAGGTCATAGGCAGCCGAGACAAGCCAAAAAACGGTCTAAGAACAAATGCTATGTCTGGGGCTGTCACTGCCACCTGGAGAGAAGGAGCCCATGGGGCCATCTCTCAGCAGAAGGCACCCATTGTCATTCGCGCCTTCACCAGTCACCTCCCTCTCCAGGGGAGGAACAGGATGGCAGCTACTGATACCCTGTGCCCAGGGAGCTGACCTACGAAAGGGACTTCCTGTATGAACAGCTGGGTACAACTCCACACCCTCCAGGCGGCAAGACAGGAGTAGTCTGCCAGGAGGATGGCCAGAGGAGGGACATGGGAGGAGGTGGGCCCTGGGCTGGAGTGGGGATGCAGGCTGCCACCCAGATGACCATCAGCAAGGCCTTTTTTGATGGCACTGACAGCTCAGTTTTGCTCAAAACACTGTGCTGAGTGGAATAAATTCTGAGTCTTTAAACTGTGTAATCTGCTTAATGACTAGAAACAAATTTGTCAACTTACTTATTTGGAATTTGTTAGACTATTTGAATACATAGTACGCCACAGCAATGCACCTGGAGTTATTTGAATTAAGAATGGGAGCTTGTAAATGGGTACAGGTGTATATTCAAATATCGGAGAGCACACCAGTGCAAAGAATGTGCAGAAGGGCACTCACAGACAAAATCAAGGAGGCAAGTCCAGGTGCCTGGGCCGTGGGGTGCTGGGCCGTGCAGTGCTGGGCTGTGGGGTGCTGGGCTGTGCGGTGCTGGACCATGGTGTGCTGGCCCGTGGGGTGCTGGAACATGGGGTGCTGGGCCGTGGGGTGCTGGGCCGTGCAGTGCTGAGCCATGGGGTGCTGGGCCGTGGGGTGCTGGAACGTGGGGTAGTGGACCGTGCAGTGCTGGAACGTGGGGTGCTGGAATGTGGGGTGCTGGAA